TTTTCCTTAGAGAGAGAGAGAGAGAGAGAGAGAGAGAGAGAGAGAGAGCTGCCAAATCTCTTGAAAGAGCATTTCTTCTTGAAGGGGTTGGACATTTTCTTTGCTGCAATGCTGTTTCTTCATAATATGAAAGTAGCACTGTCAGTTGCTGTGCATTGTAAAATTAAAATAGTATTGCTTTTCATCTGACCCTATGCCACAGTTTTGCTCTGCTCCCACCTATTGCCAATGGGAAGATCATGGGTTTGGCGAAAATGGGATGCATATAAGCAAATTAAAATGATGTACAGGCTAATGATAACACTATTCTGATCTGTTAAAATGTACTATTGCTGAAATAGTAGAATTTTTATAACCACTTTCTGAAAGAGATGAGTTCATAAATTCTGAACATCAAAGCCTAGTTTAGTTTGAAAATAGATATAAACGTATGTATATTATGTTTATCTGCAATCCTTAGGAAGTTGAGGTATTTTCTCCCAGTAGCAGTACTTGAGAGTAGTTTCTTCTTCGTGTATATTGCTAAAAGTTACTGAAAGTTTTATCCACTATTAAGACAATCATATTGGAGTAAGTTGCTTCACAGTAGTTTAAGGTGTCATATTGATTTCCAGATTTTTTTGTGTATTTCTCATATGTTTCTATGAGTTCTGTAGTATTGTGAAGTATTTAGAGTCATCTTCATGTGAGGCATTTTAAAACAAGATCTGCTAAGACACTATGGGTTCTCTGCAAGTTCTTCATTAACTACAGCTACCTCCCAAGATAGGGGAATGAACAGCTCACTGGCAGCCTTTACATTTTGCAAAGTACCATCTCCATCTTCTTAAGCCATTTCCCAACTTCGTGTAGACTATAGTGAATATCTCCTAAAGACTGCTCTGCAAAATTACCTATTCCCACCATTTTAATACCATTTTTGTTTTCCATTTGTTTCATCACAGTGAGAGAAAGTGTGAATCCTGTGTACGGTTTCTCAAGAGCACCTGCCCTCAACTACCAGCCCCCAGGGAGCAACACCATAAGCTATGTAGTCCATGCCTCTCACCACAGTGCCACATTTGTAGGGCTTCCAAGGTCACTGCCAGGAAAGAATATTTCTGACTTGGTATTCTTAACAAGATTTTATCTTAATTGGATTAGTGTAGTCTACATATCTGCTTAAAATAAGTGCAGTTGCCAAATGAATGGAATAGCTTACTCTGAGGCCCTGCAGGTCTGGGCAGTATGGAGGCTACATAAGGAGGGCATAGCTATCTGAAAATACCATGTTGGACAGGGAAGATAGATAACCAACAAATGCCTGCTGCAGTTCTGAATTTTAAAATGTCTGTGTTCATAACATGTACTGGTAGTTTTCAAAAAAAAAAAGCTTAATTTTATTGACTAAATCCTGATTGAAATGGATGCAGGGTTTATCCATAAATCAATATAGAAAAGCTGAAGATCCAGGGTGCTGAAGTCTTCCAAAGAGTAGATTAGAACCATCTAGAAGGAAAAAAAAATGTTTGTGGAGATACAAGGGCTGAGGTGTTTGCAAAGCATGTGAAGAGTCTTTTGTTTCCAAGGAAGACCTCAGAGTGAGCTGCACTTAAGATCTACGATAGGCATTTGTTGGCCATAGGGATGTTGACATTTATTGACCCTGATATCTCAGCACTACCCAAACTAACTCATCTCACTTGGAAAACTTCCTTTACAATGCTCAAAACACTAGTAAACTCCATGGAGTTGACAGCATTGAGAGGCAGTATGGTGTGGAAGGACACTTTGAATCAGTGGTGTAACTTGTTCCAGATTGTCACAAAAGGAAATTGAGGGAAGCTGAGGAAAATTGGTGAAAGCTGCGCTTGTACATGCTTGTACATGTGCACATTCTATTTATGGAAACTATACCTCACTATATACAGGATGAACTCATTTTTTCACTTAACAGTACATCTTGGATATGTTTTGTATCAGTACACATAAATCTAATTTTTAAATGATTTTAGTTGTTTGTAAATGATTGTATGCATTTCTGGACATGTGGGAGTCTTCTGATTTAATGTCAATTGAAATGAACTCAAGCCAACAAGATGTGTTTGTTGGTTTATGACATTGGTGTGAGGAGAGCACTAGTGGAAAGACAGCAAGCTGGTGCCCCAGGCAAGGGCAAGGACTGTGGAGGCTTTAGAAGTGGGTTATGGCCACTCCTTTTCATCATCTGTGAGTACCAGCCTTGAAAGGTATTTTCTCTGTACAAATATTTACTGGGTAAAGAGAAAAATAGTGCATTGCATATCATAAGTACTGTAGATAAATCTGTAAGTTAGCCTTATCCACTGCCACCATAGAATTTATGACCAACTGGGATCAAACTTGAAAAGGATAATTACAAATTGCAGCACAAAAAAATAAGGCTAGAAATCTAAGAAATTGGCTTTTCTGGGATAGTTATTAATGAAAATATAAATGTTACATTTAATCTCCATGCTTTCGAATTTTAGTAGATACTACTACAATGATGCTTCCTAGGAAGATTGACAGACCAACACCACCACCAGCAGCACTGTACTTTTTCAAAAAGCTTTATGTCTTTGTTTTTTTGGTCAATTAACATGGCTTTTTGAAAGTTAATTTTATTTTTCCCTCTTAAGAGTGTGGTGAAGCATCTTTTTCAGGATTTCTTATTTTGTAATTGTATGTAAAGTGTTCACACTAATGTTTGGCCATTTTATTTGGGTAATGTTAGACTTCTTATTCATCATAAAAGCTCTTCAAGTAATAAAAAGTTAACTTATCAACTGCCTTGCAACTGTTTCTCTGTCACTTTTCGTTTTACTTAGTTTTCTGTTCTTTGTCTTTGTTGCTTGTGAAAATGAACCAGCTGAATAGCTACAGCTTCTAAGTGCACACAGCTTACCATGGAATTTTGCCATCATAGAAGGACCTGGCCAGTAATTCTGCCTTAAAAAAAAGATGTAAAATTTGAGTGTATATCACATTTGTCTCATGGGGGCTATAATATAAACAGAGAATAGCTTTTTCTTTGAAATGATTTTTCAAGGAATTATGTAGTTATGGGTTGTAGAATAAAAATGGACAAAATGTCTAACATTTGAAGAAATCATTAGAATCACCACCACCCTCCTTGAGGCGGGGTTGCTTATCTATAGCCCAAGCTAGCCTGAAACTCAATGTGATCCTCCTGCCTCAGCCTTAGCTGAGATTACAGGAATTTATCACTCTGCTTGGCTTTTAGAATCAGGAAGTTGATCAAGTGTCAGATTATACTGAGCTTTAGTTGGTGTGGAGAAACCAAATTAGTGTCTCAGTAATCGGAGGCTTTTTTTGTCCCACCTGGTTCTGCAGCTGATTTTAAAATAAGCACTCAGAGGCTTAATATTAATTACAAACTGTTTGGCCTATTGCTCATACTTATAACTAGCCCTTACAACATAAATTAACCCATTTCTATTAATCTATATTTTTGCCACCGGGCTTTGTGACATTGCCTGTCCTCTGGTACATCTTGTTGCTGGCATCCTCTCAGACTCCACCCTTCTCCTGTATCTCCATTTGGATTTCCTGCCTAGCTCTATCCTGCCTGGTTATTGGCCAAATCAGCTATTTTATTAGCCAATAGTACTAAAACATAATCACAGCATACAAAAAGATTATCCCACTGCTGCTGATTAACTGACAATTGTAAATATTTGAAGCATAATTTTCTCTTATGAGTTCACAAAAATACAGCATTTCACAAAATATGGGAAAATAGCATAAGGTTTCCTTAAAAATAAAGTGTTTTGTGGTAGGTGCACGCATGTTTGGTTAGGTTTTTTTTGAAGCTCTTAGCCTCTGGACCATCTATCTAGTTAAGATTTAAAGCCCTAATATTGAAGGGGGGACATGTTACAGCAGGATGTTAATGACTTTCTGGTAACTAGAAACCAGGAGACTGTTAGCCTGCAAGGCCCAAATCTGTCAGCAGGCTGAGAAATTATTGGGTTTCCTCCTCCAACCTGGAAAGAGGGGCCTGCTTGGAAACCACTAACAGAGAATTAGACCAATGGAAAAACCATTGCAGTTCTCAGGCAATTGAAAGTATTCATAGGCAAGGCAGATTACTGTAGAATTTGGCCCCAAATTTTGTCCTCACAACTACACCTGTTAGGAAGTTTTGAATGGGCCCAGGGATTTTTATGGGCTTAAGGAGGGCACTGATAATCTGTGCCTGCTGTGGAAATTACAAGCTTGCAAAAGTCTTTTCAGTTGTTCATGAAAGAGGTGGGTTCCTATTGGGAGTTCTCACTCTGGTGATTGGAGATGAACCTCGAACTGTAGCCTATTTATCAAAGTAAATGGATAATGGCAATGGTGAGGAGAGGAGGATGGTAGGGGACTTTGTATCCGACACTATAGGAAGGACTCTGCACTTAAACAAAATAGTTTTGTTTGTTTTGAGTTAATCTGCACACAAGCCATCTTAATGCTGTGTTTGTTCTGAGTTAACTTTACATCCCATTGCAGAACTCATATTTGACACCACAGGACATTAACCAGACTAAGCATTGTTGAGTACCTAGGTTCAGAAGTCAAATAAGGGGGAAGGCACAGAACTCTTTAGAACTCAGTAGTGAAAAGGTGGGGGACAGAATAAACTTGAGCGCTAATAATTAACTTAGTTTGCCTCTCTAGAAAACTTCTGGTTTGAGATGGGATATTAAGGTGGCTTCTCTAGAGTAGTGGTATTCAGACTAATCTTCATGATTATGCCAATGTTTGATTAAAGCCCAACTTAAAGAGTCAATTCCTGTCTCAGTTCCTTGGTGGCTGGAGTTACAGTGAGAGTTTTGTTGTTTCAGTAAGGGATGACGCTGTATGTGAAAACAGTTCGATGAAATGGCCTGTTTTCGTGTAAACAAAATGTTTCAACTAGACCCAGACAAGGCACCATCGAGTCGAGTCCTCCCACCGTCCTAGAGGGGAGCCGGAAGCCACTGGGCTGGAACACTGAGGGGACATGTGACTGACCCCGCGACCAGGGCGAGAGGACGTAGGGTAATCGGGTTCCAACGGGGTCAGATCGGCAACCTTGGGCCTCTGGAGCAGCGACGTGTGTGGCTGGTACACAGAAGCGATCCACACCTCGGACCTGGGAGATCCGGAAAGGGTGCGTGGCGGAAGCTACGGTTCTCGGGCGTGGGAGAGGGATGAGGCTGAGGACCTAGGGAACGCGCAGTTTGTTGTTGAGGCAGTTTCGTGCTTATCCTGGAACGCACGGTGTAGCTCAAGCTGGCCTCACACGCCTGAATATCCTCCTGCCTCAGCCTCCTGAGTGCGGGGATTACAAACGTGAGCCAACACGCCAGGCTTCTGTTGATTGGTTTTGTTTTTGAGAGCGTTTCGTAAAGCCCACGTTGGCCTCACTTCTTTGGCGGAGGATACCCTTGATGTGAACCAAGCGCTGAGCTAATAGGCTGGCGCTATCACACATGGCTTCTGTTGCATGTTTAAGTAGTTTCCACTGTAAGTAAACAGGATATTTGAGTAGATAATCCGAGATAGATGGACGGACGTAGGCGGCTTTCTAAGAGGCATGCGTGAGAGAAGAGCTAGCGCAGAGGCCCGAAAGCTGTAGCTTGTTTCTCTTATTTAGGGAATAACAAGGTCACCAGGGTGTTTCGAGCGCAGTGAATAATATCGCCAGAAAGAATAAGTGTGTGGAAAAAGAAAAAGTGGGCACTTGGTTTTGGGACGAAGCATTTGTAATTGGAAATCCACAATAGGAATAGATGGGAGGGCGGGCAGAAATGAAATCAAGAATAATTCAAAGTTGGATGCAATTAAACACCTGCATATGAGCATGATGGCTAGTTTCTATAATCCTAGCACTTGGGATTCTGAAGCAGGAGGATTGCCATTAGTGGCTACAGAGTGAGACTCTTGGAGGAAAATTGGCAGGAATTCTAGAGGCAAGTGTAGACTGACTGTTGTGGTAGTTGTGTCTGGGTGGAGCCCACAGCATTGGCTTCTGAATCAGATGCACACGACAAGAGAGAAGGGAAAAATAAATTCAAAATTTTACATCTGTGGACTAAAAACATTTTTTTTGAACAAAAAAGATCTGAAACTCAGCCTTAAGACCTTGTGTAAATTCCTCAACTCTCCATGTCAACTTTTGTCTTGTAGTAAAAGGTTAAAAGTAGTTCTTAATGGGTTTCTATGGAGATTGAATTAAGTGAAAAGCAAGTGGAGCAACTCTTTTGTCTTATTTATTATGCTGGGACATGAGATGTGACTGGTCATTTAATAAGAAGGAAAAAATTTAAGGGGTTTCCCTTGTAAGAGTGAGATTTGTAAGGTCCCAAAAACTAAGTATTATCAGTGTGAGGAACTGAAAGTTCATTAAAGCTTAAGAAAAGTTTAGACCATATTAAATGTTTTAAACTTGATCTCAGTGGTGATGGCCAGTCACTATGTGCAGCATGCACAAGGGAGATATGCTTCATTTCCTCCTTAGGAAGATAACAATTGCAATATGGGAAATAGATTGATGTCAGGAAGACCAGTTGAACAGTAGTTCCCAACCTTAATGCTGCAACCCTTTAATACAATTCCTCAGGTTATGGTGACCTCCAACCATAAAATTATTTTCATTTCTTCTTCGTGGCTGTAATTTTGCTACTATTATGAATTGTAACTGTTTGGGAGGTAGAGGTTTTCCAAAGGGGTCACAACTCAAAGGTTGAGAATTGCTGATTCAGAGTATTCCAAGTAGGAGACCTTGTCATCAAGAAACTACAAGAAGGATGTATTTGAGGGATATGAAGCTGTAGAATCAAAAGATCTTGGGACTTCAGGAGAGATGACTCAGCAGTTAAGAGCACTAGCCAGTCTTCTAGAAGACTGAGATTCAAATCTCAACACCACATGGCAGCTCAACCATTGGTAGATAACTCCAGTTTCAAGAGATCTGTACCCTTTTCTGGCTCTCTTCAGGCACACATGTGAAGCACAGACATGATGCAGGCAAAACACCCATACACGTAATTTTTTAAAGGAACTTGATTAATTATATACATACATTATTAAAGGAGGAGAATGGAATGGTCAGTTTTCTGTCTTAAATCTCAAGGTAGCTGGTCCCTCCTGAAGACAGGTTAAACTACTATGTATTGTGTTGTTATGTTTAATCACATTTTAATATAATTACTTACCTATTTAATAATATATTTCATCTAATTACTCAATTACTAAACACGTTTAATTTTATTAATTAGAGTCACCACTAATTTATGTGTTATGCCAGTACTAGAGTTCTTACTGCCTTTTAAAAAAGATTTGGCTTTTAAAGTGCCTATATTATATATCTGGGTATGTGCATTCCAGTACACTTGTCCCTTGGAAACCATAAAGGTACTCAGACCTCCTGTGCTGAAATTGCCGATATTGTGAGCCACCCAGCAAGGGTTCAGGGGGCCTCAGTGGTACCCTCTGCAAGAGCAGGCTGTTCTCTTAACCACAGAGCCATCTCTTCAACCCCTTTATTAGAGTTATTTAAAGAAATGGGACCTGTTTTTATATTAATTTTGGCTAGTAGCTGTCTAAAAAGATTTATTTTAAAAAACTAGAAAGGGGACTCTTTAGGAACAGGATCATGGGGGGGTATTGAAATACATGTGTATGACACTCCATAATAAAATTCATTGTTGTGTATAGTTAATAAATGCTAATTTTAAAAAGAATAGGAAAAAAGTCAAAGACTAATTACAAGGATTGTGGCAGCTATCAAGTTCTAAGATCTTCAGAGGGAATTACCAAGCTAAAAATAAAACAGCAATGATTTAATTCTGGTGAAAGCCAAAGACCTATGAACAAAAAAGCTGATTATTTAGTTCAGGTCTGATGACAAGAGACTTAGCACCCAGAGGAACTGAAGTCTCAGTCTAGAGCTGAAGGCAGGAGTAAAACACTGTTATCTGAGTTGGAAAGCTGTTGGAGAGGAAGTCTCTTACTTGGAAGAGGATCAGTCTTTTTGTTCTCAGACCTTCAGCTGATCTAATCAGGCAAGGCCCACTAAATTATGAAGGACAATCTGTTTTACTCAGTTTACAGTCCATTAATTTAAATATTAAATCTCATTCCCAAAACACAAAAACATCTAAATAATGTTTGACCAAGTATCTTCACACCATGTGTCCCAGAATTGACATGTAAATTAGCCACCACAATACCAAACTGCATTTACTGGTTTAATAATCATCACTTTCTTGGACTTTTTCAACCTCTCCTAATAGGGCATGGTGGTGCAAGCCTCTCACATCCTTGTTACTTGAGAGGTTGAAATAGAGAGGACTGTTAAAGCTCAGGCATATGAGGCTGCATTGAGTAACATAGCAAGACCATATCACAAACAAAAGAAGAATACTAGTTTTTTGTTTTGTTTTGTTTTGTTTGGTTTTCCGAGACAGGGTTTCCCTGTGGCTTTGGAGGCTGTCCTGGAACTAGCTCTTGTAGACCAGGCTAGTCTCGAACTCACAGTGATCCACCTACCTCTGCCTCCCGAGTGCTGGGATTAAAGGCGTGCGCCACCACCGCCCGGCAAGAAGAATACTAGTAGTGGCTCTTAAATTTAATTATGTATTAGTGCAGGATCCCATTATGTAGCCTAGGTTGGCCTCAAAACATGCAAGCCTTCTGCCTCAGACTGTGGAGTATTGGGATGTAGGCCTGAAGTACCACTCTGGTTTTAGATGTTTGGTGTTTTATTTTTAATGCAAGCACTAATTTCCTATGTTTCCTTTAGTCGTGTCTCTTTAATCTAGAACAATAACCCCCCAGTATCAGCTCTATGTTTGGGGGAAATTGGATCCATTCCTGTTGTAGATGAGCTAGAGTTCTGGATTTCCCAGAAGGTTTCCTCAGTAAATTCATGATAAATAATATTTATTAAAAGTGTTCCATAGGTGATAGGGTAGTTGGTTTTGGTGTCTTACTGCTAAGTTTGATCATTTGGTTACATTTGCAGCTACACAGTGTGGTGGTTAACACTGAATGTTCTGTTCTTCCCTCTTTGCCCCAGTAGTTTTAGCATTCATTTGTGGTTTTTCAAATCTCTTACTATTTAGCTAGGTTGTGTGGTATCCTTATAAAAGTTTTCTCACTTTGTTTATGTACACTCTGGAATAGCTGTTTTGGAGAAAACTACCCTAAGGAAAGATGATTTGTTGCTGTTCTTACTACTAGCATGAATTCTCTTTAGTTTTAATAATAAAAACTAGGAGTCAGCAGCTATCAGGGGGTGAAAGCTGAAGGATCAGAGAAGAGAGGTCAGCCACTAGAATTTTACCTCTACCAATGCTCAGACCAAAGGGGCAATCCTGTTCTCAGACTGCTACCTCAGTCTACTTCAGACTGACTGGCATGAGCTCCTGTGTCCTCACACCTTATATTCCTCTCTCTGTCCAGCCATATCACTCCTATCTCCACCTCCCTAGTGATAGAATTAGAGGTATGTGATCCCAAGTGCTGGGATCACCTTTGTGTGAGCTCTGTTTCTCTTTTAGACTGGATCAAATTCATGTAACAGGGTGGCCTTGAACTCACTGACATCTGACTGCCTCTGTCTCCGGAGTGCTGGGATTAAAGGTGTGTGCCACCACTGCCTGGCCTCTATGGTTAACTAGTGTGGATAGCTCTGTGCTCTGATCCTCTGGTAAGCTCTATTTGTTAGATCATAAACAAAATAACACCACCGCTAGCATTGCTGTTTCTGTGACTTCTGTCTTTAGGAGTCCTTCAGGATACCGTCAAAAGAAAGTTCTCCAAAACAAAGTGCCTGAAGCAAAGGATGGCACTGGCCTTGGTGAGTGTGTATTCATGTGCATTCTTCTTTTTAAAAGTTCTTTGAGTTTTCAACATGTTCTGATCATGTTCTGTTCCCACACATACCTCTTCCCAGATCCACCCTAGCAAGCGTGCATACTCTTTGGCTCCTCTGAATCTGAAGGAGGAGCTTCAGGTAATGAGGGGATGACTGCTGTTCATGGAATCAGAGGTCTGACCTTGGGGGTCCTAACAGACTAAATTTAGTAACTTGCCACTCAGTCGAGTGAGAGAGGTGAGTGGTAGGGAAAGAAAGGAATTTATTACTTAGCGTGTCCGTATTGGGAAGAAACAGGAAGACAGTGCCCTAAGCCCTGTCTTAGGGCCCTGACAAGAGTTTCAGGATTAAATGGGGAAAGGACAAAAGCTGAGAGGAAGAGGAACAAATAGCATACATAGCCTTGTCAGTCTGTCTTAGACAAATTGATCAGTCAGTATTTCATGCTGGTTCTGTAAGGTCCTGATAGCTCCAGCGGAGTCAGTACAGCTGAGGTAGTCAGTGCTGGTGCCCGTGGATCCCAGCATGGGTGATCTGTAGGCAAAGTTCTTAGTCTCTTGGAAGGAACTTAGTTATTCTTATCTTGGTGACATTAGCCTTAAAGGGGGACTAGAAGCTGTGCATTGTGGTTTAGGACTTCAATCCCAGCACTCAGTGGCAGGGAGATCTCTGGGGCCAGCCTGATTTACATACCAAACTCTAGGCCAGCCAGAGCTATATAGTGAGATCCTGTCTCAATGAAAGAATAGAAAAAAAGAGGAGTAGGGGTACTAACAAGGTTAGATAAATTAGAGACTATCAAGCTGTTTGTGGGACACTCCTTAAAAGATTAGGAGAAATCTGACTCAGAATTTAGGGTAGCAAAAGAGATGAGTCTTTGCTTTAAGCCACTGTTAAAACTACTGTGCTTGGGAACAGGGATTCAAAGTTCAAGGAAACAGAAAAGGCCTTGGGCAGGAGCCATTGAGCAAACAGTTCAGGCAGCTGCGCTATGAGGAAAGCACTGGACCTCGAGAGGTTTTACGCCGACTCAGGGAGCTCTGCAGACAGTGGCTGCAGCCTGAGACCCGCAGCAAGGAGCAGATCCTGGAGCTGCTGGTGCTGGAGCAGTTCCTGACCATCCTGCCAAGAGATCTGCTGGTCCAGGTGCTTGAGCACCACCCAGAGACTGGGGAGGACCTGGTGGGAATACTGGAAGATTTGCAGCGAGACCGTGGAGAAGCAGGACAACAGAAGGTAAGAGGTACAGGTGTCCTTATGCAGGAAAGTAAGAAGTGAGCCCCCAGGTCACATAGGTGGACATGAGTGAAGCAGTGGGAGGGGCGCTGCTCACTGCTGCTCAGTTTCAGCCTCACCTCACCCTTGCCATTCCCTCTTTTCTAACACTGAAGTGTTTTTTTGTAAACCAGTTCCCTAATTATCTGTACTTATCTCTAGGATCCAACCCAAGGATGCAGACAGACTGTGCTAGTTGGAGGGACAGCCCCTCACAAAGAAGCACAGCAGCAGCCGGTCCTGCCTGAGCATGAGGTGCAGAAGCCTGAAAAGGAGACGGGTAAGAACTAAATGGCATCCCTTCACATTTGACTTATTGTAGACCATGCAGTGCCCTCTGCCTTGGCACTCTTAGCTTTTGTGTTTCGATTTTGTCAGATCTGTTGTGGCATAATTTATATACACAATCTTCACTGTAGCTTCACTAGTCAGTGAGTTTTTTTGTATATTCCATAAACTTAGTCAGTACCACAGTCAAGAATTAGAAGATCAACCACTCTAAACAATTTAAATCAACAACACACCAAGGAGAAGTGGATCTGGACCTACCTTCTTTTCTTATCCAAGGCAAAGAATCTCAGGCACCAGTTTCCTCATTTTCTTAGCCCCTTCAAATCACTATTAATGGAAGTGATGACGGTGGTTACTTGGTCTTTTTGTTGTTGTTTTGTTTTGTTTTTGGTTCTCCTTTGCTACTGTTCCATTCCGTATATTTTTCTTTCTAGTCTGATAGAACCCTTATCTCTCTCCCCTCTCCACTTAGTGTCTTTTTTTTTTTTTTTTTTTTTTTTTTTTTTTTTTTTTTTT